CAGGCTGTTCCAGACCGTGGGGGCTCGGACAGTAAAGAAATTCTTCCTTGTGTCCAGCCTGAAATGGTCTTGTAGTAGTTTATGACCATTTGACCTAGTCGTCATCCCTTGGGGCGCTCTGGTGAACAAACGTTCCCCCAGATACTGGTGGTCGCCCCTGATAAACTTATAGGTGGCCATCAGATCGCCCCTGAGCCTGCACTTTTCCAGGCTAAAGAGCCCCAGGGCTCTCAGCCTGTCATCGTAGGGTCTGCTTCCCTGACCTCTGATCATGCGCGTGGCTCTTCTCTGGACTCTCTCAAGCTTCTCCACATTCTTTTTGAATCACTCTCTGCTTTTCGGTTCTGAGCTCCGATTCTCAGGAGCAGCCTGATTGAGTCGGATTATAGTTTCATAGTACTTAGGGTCGGAAGGGACCTAAACAGATCATCAGGTCCAACCCCCTACCCTGGGCAGGAACGGGTGCCATGGTCATATCACCCCAGCCAAATATCTGTCCAGCCTTCTCTTAAAGACCCGAGTTGAAGTCTCTACTGTTCATGGTTATTTTCAGCCTTGTTGGCTATTCTCTCCCTCAGACCCTCTCCTCTGGTTGGTATTTCCCTTCCCAAGCAGCAGCTGCTAGCACAGTTCTGTCAGAAGCATTTTCTCCTGGCTGACCTCTCTCAGGAAGAAAGCCCTATTTTCCCCATTTCAGATCAGAGAGAAGGTGCCGAGTCCTTCTCAGGTATACAGGACAGGGCAGATGCTCCCAACCCTGCAGAACATCCTGTTCTAGTCACCAGTCACAGAAATGCCAGGCCATTGCCATGTACTACTAGATTCAGAGACTCATTCAGCTAAGAAGCTAGTTCACAGGATCTCATCCCTGACATGCCTAAACGCCAGTGGACAGTCATTGCCGTCCTACAGATCACTCCCTTGCTGGTACAGCTTCTCTCAAGCTCACAGAAGGGATACAGAAAGGCAAGACAGTGTCCAGACAACATACTAACTTAATTTTGTGTGTCTGCAGTAGAGACACATTAGGGAACAAGGGACCGGAAAGGGCAGAGGATAAAGCAATGTTGTAAATTAGAGGGCACTGAGGACGGACTTAAACTGGCTCAACAGTATTTTCTTTCAAGTGCCATGCTATACGTGGGATGCTTCCATCAACGACTTGCTCCCATCATCTTAATAGATGGCTCTTCTGTGCCCAGGGTTGCTTGACTGTGAGATGTACCACATTCCCCTGAGCACCTATTCAGTAAGGCTACCAAAGTCAAGTGGAGGCCTTTCTTACCACGCATCGTCGAGCTCAGCCATCAGAGGGGAGAAGGATGCTACTGGAGACATCAGGAAACTAAACAAGATAGCTGTCCTTCAAGCCAGGAGGAGAAAGAAGAGGAGGCCAAGTATTGTCTTCTTGCAACGCCAGTGACCTGTACTTCACCATCACCAAACTTCTGCCACATGGCAGCACAAGTCTGAAGCCAACCTGCCAGGCGCCGAAGTGCAGAAGAGTGCAGAGCGGACACTGGGTATATTCTTAGGAAATCTGGTTTCATTTACATTTCTACAGAAGGCCTGGAAGAGCAACAGCACACACAGGAAAACCTTCCTTCAAGGATTTTAGCTGAACATTAGTTTTCTTCCTACCTCACCCTCCTGTTCCTTTAAAGCAGAGGATCTTACTTTCCTATTTTTTACATGCATTCAATGCAACTCCACTGCCTGTTTAGGCCTACCAGAGATCTGCTCCATTCAGTCTAGAAAGGACATGACAAAGTACTGGACGCTCGTTATGCCCTAGCAAAGGGCTGGACTCTAAAAATAACTCTGCTTTTTTCTTCTCCCATTTGTGAAGTCCTTGAGTCAAAGAAATTGCCTTTGACCAAGACAGTCACACTTTACCTCACCTCCCAGGCACCCTACACCTCAGGCAGAAGTACCAAGCACTTCACACAGAGCTTCTTCTCTTGTCCCAGGATCATTTCTACTCAGGGACAGCATGCAAGTACCAGAAAACGGCCTTGGGACCAACTGCATGTTTGACTTGCAGATGCCTTCGCCTCTCCCCTCGCCACGTCAAATAAAAGCTATCCTCAACAGCAACCAATCACACACACTGGCTATTACAGCCCAGGGATTATTTCTATGTCAGAGAAAGCAGAGCAGCTAGGATCCCTGCTGTGAAATCCCCACCACAACTCCACATGGCATTCTTCAGAGGGAGAGAATTACCCCCCCCAAAAACACAACTCTTTCTCTGGTCCGGCTCCGCAGGTTCCTCGTTAATCCTGGCTGCCTATTCATTAATGTTCTACCTTGTGAGCAATTCGGCTGAATTATTGATAGCACTAAAATATCAGATGGTCTCTGAAAACAATTAAGGCTGGTTTTAAATGCAGCTTTGGCTTTTTGAGGTAAACATTCAAGGACATTTCCCCCCTGCCCTATAAGGGGAGCTGCATTTGGTTTAATAAAAGCAAATTCTCCTTTATACTGGTGCTTTGCCAAGGGGAACAGGCCACGAACAAGGTGATTAGAACGGCATGTGTAACTCAGATACTGACAGCCAGATTTGGAACAAATGGAGAAAAACAACTTGACGATTGTACTTTCCTTCCAACTGCACATGGAAACCCTTAAGGTAAGTGGAGCTTTCTTGGTTGGAATTTCCTTGGAAACTCTTGCCACTTCCCATGAACAGTCTGGCACTCCCCACCAAAGCCCCTTTCTTCCAGGTATACAAAAAAATTATACGTGGATGAGCCTGTCTTTCATCCTTGTCTCACAGCCAAATGCCCAGCTCCAGCCCCCAAGTTTGTCTCTGTTCCATGACTCCAGCTTTGGACTCTACGGCCTTCTTCATCCAACATTTCTTAGTAGTCCAGACCCAGTCCCAGCTCTACCCTACCCATGCTCAAGTCCACTCCCCTCTCTCTGCTAAACTGAAAAAACCCTCAATCTAACCAAAGAGCCTAGTTTATAGGAGGAATGAGGGCATAAGGCTTCAGAACTAGACTTCCTACAAGGCACTGCAGGAAGAAGCTTAAAACTGAACAAATCTGACAATGAGAGACAATTTACAGTGACTGTAGGGGACAGGAGTAGGAGCACTGCCCTCAAACTGTAGCAGAGGAACTTTAGGTTGGAGATGAGGAAGCATTTCCTGACTATAAGGGTGGTCAAGCTTTGGAACAGGCTACCTAGAGAGGTTATCGAATCTCCACCCCTGGAAATTTTGGAGTAGGTTAGACAAACACTTGACTAGGATAGTTTATTCAAAGATGACTGCCTTGAGCAGGGGTGCAGGGGTTTAGGTTATAGCCGTGTTGGTCTAAGGACATAGGCAGACAAGGTTCCTTGGGTGAATTTGATATCTTTTATTAGACCAACCCAAATGGTTGGAGAATAGTTATTAAGCAAGCTTTCGGGTTCAAAAACCCTTCGTCAGGCTAAGGAAGCTTCAGCAGTTGGTGTGTGCTCTTCCTTTTCATTCCATCCAGGAAGAGCACACACCAACTGCTGAAGCTTCCTTAGCCTGACGAAGGGTTTTTGAACCCGAAAGCTTGCTTAATAACTATTCTCCAACCATTTGGGTTGGTCTAATAAAAGATATCAAATTCACCCAAGGAACCTTGTCTGCCTTGAGCAGGGGTTGCACTAAATGACCTCAAGAGGTCTCTCCTATAATCAAAACTCTTAATTTCAACATTTTTTTAACCAAAAACAAAACAGATTGCTTCTTCACTTTCAAGAATGTTATCTGGCATTTTCCTTCCAGTTTACAGGATTTCCACGGGATGGAAAATTCGGACTTGCCACCCAGCTCCAAGCATGACCCAGAACTTGAAAATATTGTTTTGAAACCAGAGACCCTGATACTTGGTTGGTTCAAAACAACAGCTCCAGTTCTACAGCAGTGAGCTTGTTAAGGATTTGGTTGGCTCAATAGCCCTGCTGGCAGAGCACCTAGCAAACATGCTTACAAAGGAGCCAACATCAACAAAGCTCGACCCAATCAAGAAACTATTTAATTAACACTCTTTGCAGGGTTGGGCTACTGCAAGATAGAAGTCACAGGTACAAGATCTGACTCTTCAAGAGAGGTCTTCTGCACACACCGTGGGATAAAGCTCTTATCCAGACAAAGCCAGTGCTTGAGACTAGCAGCTACCACACATCTTCAGCAGTTGCTGTGCTACATTTATACTCATTACAGCTATTGCTACATTGGGAAATTGCTAATTATAGGGCTCCCACCTCTGCTTCACGTTTCTATTGTGTTTGTAATAGCTGTGGTTGCACTGAAGGCGTCGTGACATCTCTTCCCTAGGTGAAGCGTCTGGGGAGGTGAAGCTGAACGCGACCCGATTCCAGAAACACTGCCAGGTAGCAAGCAGGGGGAAAGGCCAGCTTGCTGTCAACAGGAAAATCAATGCCCTGGAATGGACTAAACTGTCATCTCTGGGATCCTAGGCAAAGCATTCAGTGGAGTAGATCAGTGGGTCATGGGCAAAGTCAGGAGAAAGGTTCCCCACCAGCCCTGCCTAACTGCCGCTGGGATCCCTGATATCTAAGGAACCCAAGGATGCCGCAAGGCGATGAGCAAGTGCACCAGGTTTTGTAGAACTGCTCAGGAGACACCTGTGAGCTGGAAGACTATTGGCCTATTCCTGAGGAACTTGACCATGAACAGTCTTCAGTAGCACCAGGCAGCCAGCTGTCCCCCATGTCACACAGACCTGCCTCAAGCCATGGCATGGCACAAGCATGATTTGCTGCAAAGCAGCCAGGAAGAAGAGGTTCACACCAGTGGCCTACAGCTGGCATAGCAGCTCTTGCACCAGCTGGGCTCCCCACACCCAGGAAACCCAGCGCTAAATCCTTCTCTGCCCCAAATAAGCACCAAGGAGACACAAAAGCTGATTAAGTCCCTTAATGCTCCAATGCCCCAGAAGAAGCGCTGTGCTAAGCCAGCACTCCCGGCTAACGTGCTTCTGTGCCTGTACCTGGTGAAGGATATAAGACAAGTGTCTCCAGATCAAAGGCATTGCAGAGATGTCAGGGCAGGACCACATGAAACTACTTGCTTTGGAAAGAGCCAGGCAGCCAGGTGGCAAAGCTGCCCCAAAGGTAATAGCCAAGGAAAGACCTGCAGGCCAGAGCAGGCAGGCAACGGAGATTAATGTGGGCCACTAATGGGCTATGCTAGGACTATAATGAAGACAAAGCTTCATATACCTTCACAGACCTAAGCAGTAATTGGTTCTTCTCTCATGTATCAGGAGCCTGCTTCCTTCTAAATCAGAGCACTGTTCACACACACACACATCCACCCACCCAGGGCCAATATTGCAAAAAGACAGCATTAATCTATGCCTCATGCCACATCTCCCAGGGATGACTCTCCCAGCTCCCGCAGCCCAAGCAAACAAGCTGAGCCCAAGGATCAGCCTCCCACTTGCTTCCACCTACCCTCTCTCCTTCTAACAGCTGCTGCTAATTTACCACTGCCGCCCACCTCCAGCAGCTGCCTGAGGGAGCATTAGTTACCCTGTTCTTAGAAAGGGGGGAGCAGGGAAAAGGACAGTGCTTAGATCACAAAGGGCTGTTCCCATGTCACAGCAATAAGCAGCACATCAGAAACTCAACAGGTTCCTGCAGCCAGATGAGCTCTGAAGCATCCTCCCATCATTCCTGCATCCAAGCACCAGTGAAAGGAGGGATCCACAAATAACCTAACTAGACACTTGGACTTGCCCCTGGAGACCAGGTCAGTACAGTCCCCTACAGCACCTTTGTTTCAAGCCTTGCCCAGTCTCTCTCTGCAGGTCTAACAGGCTACAGCTACCCCTGCAGAGACAGGCTTGATGTCTTCTGGCTCTCACTGTCAGAAACACTTAAAGCACAGGGAAGATGAAGGAAGCCAGAATCGTCTCCTCGGTGCCTTGACAGCAGATGCTCTGAAGTATTGCTCTCCCAAGGTACCTTTGCCAAACTCACTGCAAACTGCAGCTCTGGTGCATGCACACTGAACACGAACTGGGCACACTAGTCCTTCGGCTCCCTCCATCTGTGCCCTGCTCATCACCAGAGCATAAGCCAGTGTTGCTGAGTTACAAACACTCCCAAGGGAATCCACATCTCCCTGCTGAAATCCCTTATTAGAGAACCGCCTCTGGCCTGCGCAAGAGGGAATTCAAGCCACCAGCTCTTTCAGTGACAATCTGTGATCTATGGGGCATCACTTCCACAGATATGAATGGTTATTAGTCTATTCAGTCAGTGGAGCTATGACAGTTTATACCAGCAGAGGACCCATCCCCTGGCATTCTGGAGATATGCTGCAGGGAAATGGGAAGCCATGGAAAACCACTGGCAAACACACGCAGACACAAACCTGATGGGGGAATGGGTTTTGCTAAAATGGTAACACCCGAGAGGAATTCCCTCAATGAGAAAAGCATGCACAGCCTACAGGTTTTTCACCTTTAAATTCAACAGGATCTACCAATTTCTACTGCAAAGGAGCTGCTCATTGCTAGCGCACACACGCACCCATTTTTCAGCCTTTGAACTCCTAGGAGATAACATCCACTGGCAAATGCAATGCTCTGTACATCTACCCAAGAAAGCACTGGAGGCAGCAACAGATTTTAAAAGGCTTCTCCCTGCAAATTCTAATTAGAAGTAGCTTCCACAGAATTCACTCTAGTATTTAACCACGGCCTCATCATTTTGTATCAAAATATATGCCAGTGGACAAGTCAGGAGGAAAACTTAGATCTATCTGCAGCAACTGACCTGTGCCCGACAAAGGATCATTTTAGGGAATTTCCGTGGAGAGATATAGGTTTAAAAATGCCCATAATGTGGTGCAATTCTCTCTCTGCAGATAATTCCCTTGCTTTGTGCTGGTAGGCCCTTCTGGATATTGGGAGCCATTTGGTGCGGAATTTGAAACTCTAGACAGATGTCACAGGAGGGGAAATCTGTCAATTAAACCAAATGCTGCCTCATGTTCAGCATTCAAAAGTGGTGGCCCTTTAAAAATCAATCTGCAGAGACTGGACTCAGCCACCATTTAACAGGGGAGAACAGGCCATGGGGGAGGGCTGATTTTTTTTTCCCCACTGCAGAGGTCTTGGAAGTAGATCCCTGCTCTGAGGAGACTGCAGTGCAAAGAGAGGGGAGGCAGCTACATCCCAGCCAGTGGGTTTGCAGGCGCAGCCTTTTGCTCCTTGCGGCACTTTCCTTCCGGTTTCACTGGAACAATAAGACAGGACAGGAAGGGGGTGGGAACAGACTTGGAGCACAATTCTCGGGAGCTCCTTTTGCTTTCAGATGTTTTCCTTTATCTTGACCCCAAGAAAGATAAAAGTCCCCCGGGCTTCTTCAGAGAGAAATCCTTTAAAAGCAACATGTTTAAGTAAGGTGACTGTATGGGACCATAGGAAATCCAGGACACTGCCCCCCTGGCAAACTCAGCGGCGCCACGGCAGGCGGAGGCAGAGAGGCATGGTGCACCAGGCAGGTGGGCAGCAGCGGTACCTGCCCACCTCCCTTCCTGGTGCACCACGCCACTCTGCCTCCCTGCCGGACTGCGTCCTGCACCCCTGTGACTCCAGGACGCTCATTTTAATCTTCACCAACTTGTCAGGACGAGCCTACGAAATCCAGGACTGTTCCAGTCAAACCAGGATGTACGGTCACCCAACGTTTAAATGAAGGATGCCTCATTCGAAAGCTTGTTTTGGCCTACCCCAGCCATACAGTTGATCCAATAAGGGGCATCACCCACAAAAACCCTTGCCTCTTGAAACATCTCAAGTGCTCCCCCCATGTGTTAAACTCATTTTATGCGGGAGACAGCAGAAACCAGAGCCAAGAGGAGATCACGGTTCTACCAGGGCTCTGCCCCACACTTGCTGTGTGACCCTGGCACCAGGGTAATGGCCAGGATGGCCAGAAGCAGCCTCTGATGTTGTAACCAAAACTGAGATGCTTGAGGTCTGATCTCCAGGGGAAGAAGATTCTCCTGTCTCCTCCTGAGAGATCCAGTCCCCGATGTCTCAAGGGGGACCCACAGCAAGGAGAGTAGCCCCACAGACCATCAGAGGCCGCTCTCCATAAGGCTTTGGTCTCCCTTGGTGCCTGCGTTTCTTTGTGTACAGTGCAGGGCGAGTGAGGCTTCCCTCCCCCTCTGCAGAGCACTGTGAATGGTGCTGCATTTCTCTGCTGTAGAGGGCTGCATGTTGCCAAAATCCTAGCCATGCACTAGTGCCCAGGCAGGCTGACAGCAGCACTCACCGTGCCCAGAGGGAATTACTCGGGTTGCTGGCCTGTCTCAGGTGCTTACAAACCCAAGCTTAAGAGCCCACAAGGTTACTGTGACCCTTAGCACATAGGATGCTGCATTTCCAATGCAGGAAGAAGCTGAGACATACAAGCATGGCTGAAGGACTATCTGGCACAGGGGTGGGCAAAATGAAGCCCAGGGGCCGGATGTGGCCCACCAGGCCATTCTATCCAGCCCGCGGGGCCCCTAAAAAATTTAGAAAATTTAACATTAATCTACCCTGGGCTGCCTGTCATGCAGCCCTCGATGGCTTGCTGAAACTCAGTAAGCGGCCCTCTGCCCAAAATAATTGCCAGCCCCTGGTCTAGCAGCTGGGGTCTTGCCCAGGACAAGGGTGCCCCAGGTACATGACTGGGCTGATCATTTGGGGTATGTCCACACTGCATATGCATATGCATCCCCTGCTCTGCTAGGAGCACTTGCTTTCACATGTTCCAACCGCAGAAATGTGACAGTGAAGTTGCTCTGGGAAGTCCCCCATGGCCACTCCCCAGCCCATCTGAGGCAGTGGTCATGAGAGCTGTTCCAGGGTTCCCCTCTGGCCAGCAGCCTTTTTTAAAACTAAATTTAGATTGAAGAGCTGCACTCCAGCAACAGTAAACCATATGAGGTGCATCCTAGCAGATAGCTATATTGCACTTGTGCAAAGAGGCCTGGGAAATCATCTTCATCCCCCATCATGCTAGATATTGCACATAAACACTGCAAGCTCTTCAGGGTATGGATATTCCTTGCTGTCTAACCACAGTGGATGGGGGGCAGGGGGAAGGTCACACAACTGGTAAGAAACTGAGCAAAGAATGGAACCCGACTGCAAGTCCATTGCCCTAAACATGAACCACACAACCTCAAAGTACTTACAAAAAATTCCCAAGGCCTGAACTATTAACTAACACTGAAACAGGCAGCAAAAGGCCTGGGATATCCCAGATTGCACATGACAATGTATGCAGAGTCAAGCAAGGCATTCTCCCATGGTACTGGTGGGCTGCAGTGAAAATGCAGTGAGTGGCTGAGGGGTAAGGCCATAATTACACTTAGAGCCTGATTGTCCATGTGATCCCTGCATCATCTCTTCAGAGCCATTCAACTTCCCTCTCCCCCCACCCAGCTCCAGTTCCTGGCCTCTCAAAGGCGATGCACAGCAAAGGAAGCAGCCCCACAGACAGTCAGAGGCTGCTCTCCATAAAGTGCCCATCCCCACCCCTGCCCCGCTATCAAATGCAAAATCTTAGAATAGGAACAATTTACAATGCAGGCTACATTTGGCAGCAAAAGCTCAGGGAAGCCCCAATCCCTGTGGCTATGGCCTAACTCAGGGAACTGGAAGCATCTCCTATGCATGTGGTTTCTTGGAGGTAAACAAAGTGCCATAAGAGAAACCCTAGGACAGTGGCATTTAGGTGATGGCATCTCCATCCTTGGAGGTTTTTAAGGCCTGGCTTGACAAAGCCTTGGCTGGGATGATTTAGTTGGGGACAGTCCTGCTTTGAGCAGGGGGTTGGACTAGATGACCTCCTGAGGTCCCTTCCAGCCCTCATTTTCTATGATTCCATGCTCCCATCAGCTCTTGCCCCAGTTTACTCAGCTCACAAATCACAGGAAAAAGTTGTCCAAAGAGCCACTTTGCCAACAGGGTGTCTGCAAAGCAGCATAATTAAAGGTAGCAAGGCTCACAACTCCACTGCGAGATAAG